TGCCCCTTCCCCATACCCCCCCCCCCCCCCTCTTTCTTTGCAGAACACAAGACTCAAATCATCACCTTAAAATCACTTTTTGTTTTGTTAATTAAAAAAAAAAGCTATACTTGATAAAGCATACATGGTTGCTAGGTGTTAAGAGCAACTGAGTAAAACAAATTAAATCACAGAGAACATCTCTGGGTACGCTCTTAGATAGTGAATGGGGGAGGGAAGGCATAGATTCACACAGAGAAGTTTAACCAAACAACCAAAACAAAGAAAAATACCCTGATCGCTACTAAATACCCCCTTTCCCTCTACTCACGATTTATGCTGATCCGTACTTCAAGGCCCAGTTCACTCCCATGTCCAATATTTCTTATAGGCATGGTAATTCTGATTACTGGATCTGCTCTCTCCAGCCCTTTTCTTAGAAATCCCCACAAAGGAGCCGACAAGGTATCTGTATCCAAGTCAAATTTCAGCACTGTATCCCCATTGGTTCTTCTGGCCCCCTGCCAACATCTTTGCTAGCTACGTGAGTTTAACCCCTTAGTCACCATGTGATGGCCAGCAATCCTGTCCATTACAGTGGGCTTCAGCTATTTGGGAACAAAATAACGGAGTACAGACCATATGAACTTACCTTTGTGAATAGCCTGTTGTTATCCATATAATTGCTTCTCCCTTCACTTACCCTTGTAAACAGGCACATTATGCCATAGCTTCCCTCCAGCTGCCAGGTCTGGATAGAGCTGCCACTCAAACACATCAAGCCTGCTCCCCTGTTTACCAGGAGGTATCCTTCCCCCTGGAAACTTTGAATGCTGCCCATATAGGAGTACATAAACCAATAAACAAAACTGAGTCCTTGTATTTGTTGAAGTCCTAGCTTTTGCAGACTAATATTTGCATCTTACCAGCACTAAGGCTAAGTCTACACTGCCACTTGACTATGCTGCAACTTTCTGGCTCAGGCTCCCAATGGTGTTAGGTGGCTTACATTGAGCACTGGGAGAGCTTTCTCCCAACACTTGTGCCGTGGCCACGCTTTCACTTCACAGGTTTGTTTTATTTTTAGAAGTGTAGACAGAGCCTAAGCTTGTTATAGTATGACTGCCCAGGGCATTGTGTTGATGCTTGGTGTGTAGTTTTTAGGGTGGGTGGGGGGAACTTTTTTTGAGTCGGGGGCTGCTGACCCACAGAAAAATCAGTCAGGGGCCACACACAAGTGAGAAGGAAAACCAAAACAGAACACCACCAAAAAACTCACTGACCTGGCTCCCAACAAGTCCAGGCAAACCAGTGCTTCGGGAGGGGAGCTGCCGAGGTTTGGAGACTTGCCACGGGGCTGGAGTGCAAACATGGGCTCATATAAGCTGAGGGCTGGATCTGGCCCATGGGCATAAGTTTCTTTTAGGGGTTAGAGCAGGGGTGGGGAACCTCATGCCTGGGGGCCCAATGCAGCCCCTGGCTTGCCTGGATCTAGCCCCTGACTCTCAGGCCCCCACCCCCAAGCATTGGGGAGCCCTCACTGGCGCTCTAGTCCCTCTCCTGTCCCCATGCAGGGCTGGAGCACACACAATCTACTACGCTGGGCCCCCAGGGCAATGTGGAGATTGTCATTCTCCTTCTCAGTCAGGGGCCACATCAGTGAGGTTTGTTTGCTTCTCTCGTGTGTGTCACCTGACTGATTTTTCTGTGGGTCAGTGGCCCCTGACCCCAAAAAGGTTCCCCACCCTGGGTTAGAGGTTGGGAAGTGTCTCCAGACAATTGAGATAAAGTAAGCAATAGGTGGGGGTGCTATTTCTCAGGTTTTTTTTAATTGCACTGATGCCTTTTTTGTTATTTTAAATAGGGTTCACATTCAAAATACTGCAGTTTTAGCTTTTTCAAATATCTTTGAAGATTAATCACAGACATAGTAAGTTTTTATCTATTGGCCTCTGTGCAGGATCCAAATGTAGTGTAGTGACTTCTGACTAGACTAGCATATCTGCTGTAAAAACATGAAGGTGAGTATGTGTGGGATTTTTGTCCTTCCCCTCCCTTTTTTTTCCCCCTCCTACACCAAAATCTGTATTGTTCGACTGGTTACTTTAGTCTTCCTTCCTAGTCAGTCAAAATTCTCTGGGTGCTAATGAGTGTTTTGTAGTAAGTTTGTAATGATGTGGCTAGCAATATTTTTCATAGTCGTTCATTTATGTTTAGCCATAAATGAGAGTCTGTGAAGTGGTGCGTTTGCAAAGTTGGGTCTGATAATCTGCAAGTGATGATGCAGCCATGTCACTAACTAGGATAGTGAATATTTGGTGTACGGTATTCTGTAGAATTCTGCATTCTTGCAAGTAATAAAAAAAAGTATTTGTAGGTGTTCTTTCCATGTCAAAAATTATGCTTGAGCCTCTTTTCAGTATGTCATTCCCCAGTTCTGCATCTCTTTTGACAATAACCAGATACTCCTATTCACTCTCTAGTAACTAGGGATATGTCTAGTAACTAGGGGTAGTTCACGAGGAGTAACGGTAGTTCGGAATAGGAAGCCTAGTCCGAACTACCTAGTCCGTGCCGCGTGTAGCCGCGCGGCATGGAGTCCGCACTAGCGGACATTTAAAAATGGCGGCGCCCGGCAAGATGCAAATGAAGCCCAGGAAATTCAAATCCCGGGCTTCATTTGCAACTCCGGTTGCCTACATTACCACTCTAGTTCGAACTAGGGTGGTAGTGTAGACATACGCTAGGTTACAGCCTGAGAAATCTATATGCAGTGATTTGGTTATCCGGCACCCTGTTAACCAGAAAACTTAGTTAACTGGCATTGCCCCCAGCCACAATACTGTCACATCTTCAGGCGTGCAGGCCTGGCTTGGTTTACCATGATTGGCTTAACGGTTTTTTATTTAAGAAGTACTAATCATCTTTAACTCAAAATAGAAATGCGAGACCAACTGCCTCACACTACAAAACTACCAATATTAAAAATCTGGGTTTTACTATTATTGTCCATTGGCTTTTCCTAGGTTAATGGGACCCTCAGATAACCGGAACGCCCTAATCCCCGAGCGTGCTGGATAACACAGGTTTTACTGTAGTTGGTTCAATCCGAGAACAATGAAACACTGTGAGAATTTAATGTACTGAAATATTACTGCTGAATTCGTGTTATACTCATGAAAGAAATGCATCACTGAGTTTGTAAAATCTTACTTTCCTTTTTCTGAATCATAAGAACGGCCGTACTGGGTCAGACCAAAGGTCCATCTAGCCCGGTATCCTGTCTGCCGACAGCGGCCTCAAAAGTTGTCATGAATGCACTCTAGCCAATCAATCAAGGCCTCTTTTTAAAGGCCTAATCTGTTGTCCGTGTGTTTCTCCCCCCCCCAGTGTGGAGGGACAACACACATTCTGCGTCTCAGCTGGTCACCTGATGGACACTATCTGGTTTCTGCTCATGCCATGAATAATTCTGGACCTACTGCTCAGATCATTGAGCGAGATGGATGGAAAACCAACATGGATTTTGTAGGGCACCGCAAGGCAGTGACAGTGGTGGTGAGTAAATTTCAAGGGTCTCCTTAAAGTATTTCTAAAAGCTAATATGCTTTTTTGATATTGTATGTGCAACAGAGGGAAGCAGCTGATATAGATAAATGTAAATATGATAAAGGTTAATAATTGAGATATGGAGGTTTAAAAAGTCTGTTCAAGGTAAGTGTAGACTTTCACCTGTACAATTCTTTTTTGTCAGTAGAAAAATGAGAGGAGAGGGGCAGGGTATGGAATGGATGGATAATAAGATACCTGGTTCAATCCAGCCTACTGCAGGAGTGGCCAAAAGCAGCTTCAGCGATTTGTTTGAAATCAGTCTGGTTCCAAGCAGACAGATGTTCACATCACAAAAAAACCAAAACAATAAAACCAATACAGTTTGCACTTGTCAGAGACACCAAAGATTGAATTGACACTGGAGATTAAAAGTACTGTGATCCATAAATGGTGTCCTGTGATGTTAAGGCTGAGATGCATTGAGTACGCAGCATAAGGAAACCTACCTTGCTTTTGTGTGTACAGGCAGTCCCCGGGTTACATGGATCCGACTTACATCGGATCCCTACTTACAAACGGAGTGAGGCAACCCCGCACTAGCTGCTGCCCCCCAGCAGACCAGGGAGACGCGGAGCGGCTTTTCTCAGCAGACACCTCAGCTTGAGAATAAAGGACTGAGGGAAGTGAGGTGTGGGAGAATAAAACTGAGCTCTGGAGAAATGTTTGGCTAGAGTTTCCCCTACAATATGTACCAGTTCCGACTTACATACAAATTCAACTTAAGAACAAACCTACAGTCCCTATCTTGTACGTAACCCGGGGACTGCCTGTACTGAACCTGTGGTGGGGACTTTGTTTGCAAGGTCCTTGGTGAGGATTGAATTAATGTAACCCCCTCCCCAACCTTCTAAAAAAATTCATTGATTGTAATTATATAATCATTTTTTTTGCCTTTCAGAAATTCAATCCAAAAATCTTCAAAAAGAAACAAAGGAATGGGAGCTCCACCAAGCCAAGCTGTCCCTACTGCTGCTGTGCTGTTGGCAGTAAGGATCGCTCTCTCTCCGTCTGGGCAAGTTTTTCCTTTTGTTGTATTCTTTGGCTGATGTGATCAGTTGGGCTGCTTGGACACTTTGCACAGAGATCAGGTGTACAGAATTAGGATCTTCCATTTAGATACAGGTTTTTATTGGCCACTCTGCCTGTCAGAGGATTGTAGAGAAACTCGGGACTGGAAGAAGTTTTTATTTGTTTGTTTGTTTATTTTTATTGTTTTGAATTACTTTAGAAACTAACAATGGAACATTTAAAATTCCATATGAAAATGTGATTATGTCCTTAACCATAGTTTCTAGTATATTCAGGTAAATCTCCCATGGATTTTTGGCAATTGTAAAGTTTGAAGTGATTTATTCTACATCAAGTTTGATGGACTGAGGTCTCTGCCAATGTTTGGGCTAGAACAAGGTCAGCCAGTGGTTTCCAACCTTTTTACGCCCAAGATCACTTTTTTTAAATGTCTGAACAAGCCAAGATCTACCGACCCATCCTTCCCCCAAGACCCCACCCCTTACTTGATGCCCCGCTCTCTCTCTTCTCCTCCTCTCCATCACTTGCTATCCCCAGCCCTTATACATGCTCAGGGTACGGACACGCTGCCGGGTTTTTTTCGATTCTTCTGTAGGAAGAGGTTTTTCCAACAATTGGCCTGTCTAGACTGGACCAAATGTCAGAAAAAACCCTTCTTTGAGAAGCCCCCTTTATTCCTTGTGTAACGAAGAATACAGGGGTTACCGAAAGAGCATGTTTGCTCTCCCGCTAAAAAAAGCGGAAGAACAAACATGTCCCTGGACGCGGAAGAGTTTTTCTGGGATACCTCTGGAATCTCGGAAAAACTCCTGCAGTCTAGCCGTACCCTCACTGGGTTGAGACAGGATGTGTAGGCTCTGGGGTGGGAATGAGGAATTTGGGTGTGGGAAGGGGTGAGAGGTGCAAGCTCTGGGAGGGAATTCGGATGCAGGAGGCGGTGGAGAAGGGGATGCTGGCTCGGGGGGGGGGCTCCAGGCGGGGGAGTGTTGGGGTCAGGCGGAGGGAACTCCTGCAGTCTAGCCGTACCCTCACTGGGTTGAGACAGGATGTGTAGGCTCTGGGGTGGGAATGAGGAATTTGGGTGTGGGAAGGGGTGAGAGGTGCAAGCTCTGGGAGGGAATTCGGATGCAGGAGGCGGTGGAGAAGGGGATGCTGGCTCGGGGGGGGGGCTCCAGGCGGGGGAGTGTTGGGGTCAGGCGGAGGGTTGTTGTGCTGAGCAAGCGGTTGTCTACACTGGCCCTCTTGCACAAAAGCATTTGCGCAAGAGGGCTTTTGCCCGAACAGGAGCAGTGGATGACAGCCTATTATTTTGCTATGGGGGTAGGGTGGGAGTAAGATGTCCTCAGGACACAGATTTGTGATGTGTGGATGGTGCAGGAGTGTTGTGGCCGAAGACTGAGGATGTGGGGATGCAGGAGTTTGGGGATGAGAGAGGCTCAGGGCAGGGGGTTCCAGTGTATGATAGGCTCAGATCTAGGGTCTGGGGGGAGGGTGTGCAGGAGTGTTACGATGCTGTGGCCAGATGGAGGCTTGGCCCCAATTGGGGTTTGTTGGCCAGGCTTCATTTTTAAATAAAATATTATGTCAAACAGAAAAAGTTTCAGCATTGTCTTTATTTATGAGAAGGGCAGAGAAGCTGTTTTGAGTCAGTGACCTATGGGTCACTGACCCACAGAAAAGTCAGTTGGGGCCACACAAGTGAGATGCAAAAAAAAAAAAAACAAACACCCTCCTCCAAACCTCCCAAAGAATCATAGAACCATAGAGCTGGAAGAGACCTCAGAAGGTCATCAAGTCCAGCCCCCTGCCCAAGGCAGGACCCATCCCAACTAAATCAACCCAGCCAGGGCTTTGTCAAGCCGAGACTTAAACACCTCTAGGGATGGAGACTCCACTACTTCCCTAGGTAACCCATTCCAGTGCTTCACCACCCTCCTAGGGAAATAGTTTTTCCTAATATCCAACCTGGACCTCTCCCACCACAACTTGAGACCATTGCTCCTTGTTCTGCCATCCCTCACTACTGAGAGCAGCCTCTCTCCATCCTCCTTGGAACCTCCCTTCAGGAAGTTGAAGGCTGCTATCAAATCCCCCCTCACTCTTCGCTTCTGCAGACTTTTTGTAGTGGGGGGCCCAGAACTGGACACAGTACTCCAGATGTGGCCTCACCAAAGCCGAATAAAGGGGAATAATGACATCTCTGGATCTGCTGGCAATGCTCCTCTTAATGCATCCTAATATGCCATTAGCCTTCTTGGCTACAAGGGCACACTGTTGACTCATATCTAGCTTCTCATCCACTGTAACCCCCAGGTCCTTTTCTGCAGAACTACTACTTAACTGGTTGGTCCCCAGCCTGTAACTATGCTTGGGATTCTTCCGTCCCAAGTGCAGGACTCTACACTTGTCTTTGTTGAATCTCATGAGATTTCTAGTGGCCCAATCCTCCAATTTGTCTAAGTCACTCTGGACCCTATCTCTGCCCTTAAGCGTATCTACCTCTCCCCCTAGCTTAGTGTCATCTGCAAACTTGCTGAGGGTGCAATCTATCCCCTCATCCAGGTCATTAATAAAGATATTGAACAAAACCGGTCCTAGAACCGCACCTTGGGGCACTCCACTAGAAACCGACCGCCATCCTGACATCGAGCCGTTGATCACTACCCGCTGGGCCCGGCCTTCTAGCCAGGTTTCTATCCATCTTACCATCCATTTATCCAATCCACATTCCCTTAACTTGCTGGCAAGAATATTGTGGGAGACCGTATCAAAAGCCTTGCTAAAGTCAAGGTATATCACATCCGCTGACTTCCCCATGTCCACAGAGCCAGTTACCTCATCATAGAAGCTAATCAGATTGGTCAGGCATGACTTTCCCTTTGTGAATCCACGCTGACTATTCCTGATCACTTTGCTCTCTTCCAAGTGCCTCAAAATGGATTCCTTAAGGATCTCTTCCCTGATTTTTCCAGGAACCGAGGTAAGACTGACCAGCCTATAGTTCCCTGGATCGTCCTTCCGTTTTTTGAAGATGGGCACTACATTTGCCTTTTTCCAATCCTTGTACCTCACTAATGTGGCCCCAACTGTTCTGGTGAGAGCAGGGGACTTGGTGCTGGGGAAGGGTGCCAGTGGGGGCAGGCGACTGGGTGCTGGGGCCAGGGTGCTAGTACGGACAGGGAACAGGGTGTTGGTGGGGACAGGGAGTCCCCAGCAAGTGCCTCTTTGGAGGACTCCTACCACCCGGCAAAGGAGGGAAGCCCTGGGTCGCGCCTCCTCTGGGGACTTCTACCCCTCATGCAGCAAGTTCCCAGAATGCCACAGACCTGGGTTGTGGTATCGCGCTGGCTGTTTGGGGGAGGGGGAGCAGCCAGCGCACTTCCTGAAACCCCAGAAGTGGAGCGCAGCTTCCGGACTTCCTTCCACCCCACAGGAAGCCAGCACTATCTCCATTGTCACTGGAGGTAGGTAGTGGGGCTTCTTGGGGGTGGAGGAAAATGGGGTGGCTGTGAATGCTTCGTGATTGACTGGTTGAGCCATCCCAATCAACCGCGATCAGCGGGTTGGTAAGCACTGCTCTAAAGAGATGATCTTTACAGAAATATGAGGTTCATGGAAAAAAAGGATCCAGAAAGTTACTCATAGGCAGTACAGTGTTTCAGAAGCTAGGTTGTGGATGCTCTCTAGAATATCGTTCTCTCTCTGTGAAACTAACTGAAGGAAGCAAAGGTCCAGGGAATCCAGTTCCAAAGCCTGATTGTACATGAGGGACTAAGAGTCAGAGATAGAATATGCTACTGTTGTCAAAGAAGAGGAGCTGGTAAGGGGGGTATTTTGGTATCGTGGCTGGGAAAAGGAATTGACTTGTCCTAACAAACCTAACTTAAAGCCAGTCACTGTGTCTCAGGTTCTGACCTCTTGTAAGAGAAACATGTCCTTTCTCCTATCCTAGGGTATGTCTAGACTGCATACCTCTGTCGGCAGAGGGATGCAGATTAGGCAGGTCGACATTGCAAATGAAGCAGGGATTTAAATATCCCGCACCTAATTTGCATAAAAATGGCCACCGTGTTTTGCCGACTCAGCACTTTGTCCACAAAAAGCGGCAGTCTAGAGGGGGATCTGTTGAGAAAGAAAGCCTTTTTCAGCAGATCCTGTAAACCTCCTTGCAGGAGGCATAAGGGATCTGTTGAAAAAGGCTTTCTTTCTCGACAGACCCCTCTCTAGACTGCTGCTTTTTGCCGGCAAAATGCAGTGGCCATTTTTATGCAAATTCGGTGCAGGATATTTAAATCCCTGCCTCATTTGCAATGTCGACCTGTCTAATCTGCATCCCTCTGCTGACAGAGGGATGTAGTCTAGACATACCCCTATAGTCAGTATAGCCAACTAGGGAATCTGGCTTCCCCTGAGCTTGCTCTGCTGCATGCAAGGAACATAGCGCAACCTGGCTGTTGCTGCATTGACTGGTCCTCTGTCTGCTTTGTTCTGGCCTCTGTTTCCAGCTCCTCCTTTCAGTCAAGAAATAAAAACAGGGTAGAAAGAATATTTTTTTTTAAATCCATCTTCAAACATCTGATTTGGTTTTTATCGTAAAGTCTAAAGTAAAATTGTATCTTCATGCAAGAGTGACTGGTTTGGAAGCTGTAATAGAACAGAGATACACTTTGTTTAAGTTGAATGGCTTCACAATGAGGGACATATTCCAGAATACGCCAGTTGCTATCTGCAATCCACTGTTGCCTTTCTGAGCAGCCTAAGTGTGATATTTATTTATCAATCAATCAATCATTTAAGGGTATAACACTAAATGTTTCAGGCAAAAACACTAAATAACGGGTGCGGTGTTGCAATAGAGCAGAGGTGGGCAATAATTTTTAAAAGGGGGCCATTTCATAAATTTCTGAAGTGGCCCCAGGCTGCCCCAGAAGGGATGGGGCCTCAAGTGGAAGGGCCAGGGCCAGGAGACTTCTTGTGCTCCCCTGCCTACAGATGCTGATTGGCCTTTGCCCCCCTGCCCCCGGTGCCTATAGAAAATCGCCAGCTATTTTAAAACAGCTGGCGGTTCCCTCTAGGTGCCACAGTGGGAGGAGACTTCATGGGCTCCCCCTGCCCCCAGGCCAATCAGGGCCTGGGGATGGGGGGAGCATGCAAAGTCCCTCGCCCCCTGCCCCCGCCCTGCCAGGGATGCGCAGTGGCTAGAGAGAACTGTTGGCTGGTTTTAAAACAGCCAGCGGTTCCCTCTCATGCCGCGCACCCCGGTGCGGGGAGGAGACTTCGCACGGTGCCCTGTCCCCAGGTCTCGATTGGTCTGGGGGCAGGGGAACGTTAGTGGCAAGCTTGATCTGGCCCACGGAGGCTGTCTTGCTTGCCCCTGCTATAGAGAGAGGGCTATGTTGGTCAGAAAATTTCGTCTGTTTCAAAAAGTGGGGCTTGCGTGTCATACAAACTTTAGGAAACTGGTTGTGCTCTGTAGACAAATGCCTAACTCCTGTGGACAAATGCCTAACACCAGATCTTACCGCATTAAGCATACACATAGCATTCCTGTTCAGGAGGTGTGACTTGGTAAACACTATTAGAGTCTGTAAGAGGATGGGATTATGTGGTTGTGCATAATTCTAAATTTATCTCCTGTATTTTTCCATTTTAAGCTCACATGTCTGAAACGGCCTTTAGTTGTCATACATGAGCTGTTTGACAAGTCTATCATGGACATCTCATGGTAAGATGGCTTTCTCTTTTGTAGAAAAGCTAAATAAAAATTGTTCAGTGGAAGTTTTTATTCTAGTATATTGCAACACTGATCACGTTTTGAGCATAATTTGAGCACCACATCTGTGCAACTTGAAGTTTTTGAAGTTGCATCAATATCTTTGATGACTCTTAGTTTTGACTCATTTCTATTATTCTTTGTGCTAAATAGGCCCTTATTGTTTCTAGAAGAGACAAAAATTATATTATATAAAAATTGAAATTTAAATTATTTCCCTGCTATGTTTGTGTGTATCTCCATGCTGGAGAAGGATAGTGTCTTTGTAATTAAAGGAAATAATAATCATTAATAAAGTTTTATGGTGTAAAAGACATCTGTAGAATAAGTTCAGCTTGTTATAATTTCCTATTTTGAGCAAGCTGCTACTTTTTTATAAAATGTAGTGGGCTTGATGGATTTTACACATCTGTAACTTGTATACAGTTACTCATTTACACTGATGCAAGCAAGCAGATTTCAGTATGCTATCTCAGTCCGTCTTCTCCCCTCCCCAAAAATCCACAATTGCTCCCATCTCCAAAGATGGTTCCCTTTGTTAAATAAAAAGTTCTATAAGTGTCTACACTTGCTAATGTGTCTAACCCTCCTGGGAGTTCATCATTCAGAAAATTGAACCTAGCTGCTCTATTCTTTAATAATTTAGTTATGTCAAAGGTGTTGCTGTGCTATTTAAGAAGGCATGTGTTCCTTTGAGGCCGAGTGTAGGAGAAGGGTCAAGTTAAAAGAGCGCAGGGGCGGACTGGCCCAGTGGGCCGTTGTAACGGGCCTGCCGAAGCCCGCACTATGGGCGGCACGGCCCCATCCAATCCGCCAGCCGGCGGAGGAGCAGAGCGCTGCTGGAGAGGGGGAACTGCCTTACTCAAAAGGGTTGCTGCTAGCCAGGAGATTGTGTTATCAGAGGTGCAAGAAAAACAGCACAAACTCTTAAAGAACCTCCAACCTTTGTAAAATCCAGTATTGCGTTTCCTCTAGACGAGGTGACCTTGGAAGCAGCAGATGAAGTTTGGCAGACACCAGCCGCAGCCAGCCCGCCCCCGACTAACAAAAGGGCTGATAGAAAATATTTTGTCCCATCAAAAAGCATGAACTTTTTATTTGTACACACCCAGCTCAATTCATTAGTAGTTGACGCTGCAAACCAAAGATCTAAAAACCCTAAATGTAAATCCAACACTCGGGGGCAGGGGGGGGGGGAACACCTGGATTTATTTGGGAGGAAAATGTACTTCTCCTCGACTCTCCATCTTCGCATAGCAAATTATACAGCTCTCCTAGCCAATCACGACTTAAATAATCATGCAAAATTAACAGAGCTGATGCAGCATCTTCCCGACGACGGGAGACCCATATTAAAATCTATTGTACCAGAGGCATACACTATATTCCGCACAGCATTGCATATGGCACTCGATGCTGTTGACACAGCAGTGAGAGTGACATCTATAGTAATGAGGTGCTAGTCATGGCTGCAAGTAGCTGGAGTCCCCAAAGACCTCCAAACGAAAATCGAGGATCTACCATTTGACAAAGATAAACTCTTTGCTACAAGGACAGGTGACATCCTTCATTCCAGCAAAGACTCCCATACCACGCTACACACCTTAGGGATGCACACACCCCCCTATCGTACGAGGTACTACATGCCCTACCACAGACAGAGGGACTCATCGCTTCGTAGACAACAGCAACGACCATTCGCCCATGGTCGTTCCAGAGCAAGAAACCAATGCCGGAGAGCCCCTAACACTTGCTCTTCCACCTCACAGGTCTCTAAACAGCAAGTTTGAGGCTTTGGTTGAGGGCCTGCCCAACCTCTCCTCTTCACCAGTTCCACCCGAGTTCAACATCTTCCATCATCGTTTGCACCCTTTTTACAACCAATGGGCAGCAATCACAGACCATTGGGTCTTAGAAACCATCAAATGCGGTTATTCTATTCCCCTAATGCCCATCTGCCCCCTCCCTCTTCAGGGACCTCTCTCATGAAACACTGCTCCATCACAAGGTCCAACACCTTCTAAACACAGGAGCTATAGAAAGGGTTCCCATGGAATATTGGGTGGCAGCTTTTCCTCAAATTACTTCCTCATGGGGGGAAAAAAACCAGGGTTGGAGACCCATCGTCGACCTTGGACAACTAATCACATACTTCTGCAAACAGCCTTACAAGATGATTACACTCGCTACAATTAATCCAGCACTGGATGAAGGAGACTGGTTTGCAGCCCTTGACCTCCTAGATGTGTACTTTCATATAACCATTCACCCAGCATACAGACGCTTTCTATGTTCCACGGTGGCTTCAGATGATTTCCAGTACAGAGTTCTTCCTTTCGGACTCTCTTCGGCCCCCAGAGTCTTTTCAAAGACCTTGGCAGTCGCAGTGGTGCATTTTTGTTGAAAACTACAAGAGACATGCTCATCTTTACCAAGAGCCTTCTCCAGTCCCTTGGTTTTGTCACCAACAAACAAAAATCCACCCTCTGCCCCCCACCCAGTCCTTGGAATTCATAGGGGCCTGCTTGGATTCTACGACTGTACATGCATACCTCCCGAGCCAGCGTTTAAAGACCATAAGAAGCTTGGCCTCAATCATAACCATAAGTCCAACTGTTCCCACACTAACTTTGTCTCCCATTTATGGGACACATGGCAGCCACGACATCGACATATGTTGTTTGTCATGCCCACCTACACTTTCGTTGCTTCCAACACTGGATCTCCTTGGTGTATGCTGCAACCAAGCACCAGGTGTACAGGCACGTTTCGGTTCCTCTGAAGGTCCTTGCCTCACTACGATGGTGGACCAAACTCAGAAACCTTACTGGTGTCCCATTCCGTGTCTCAGCCTTCCGTGTCACAGCCATCCAAACAGATTACTATGGACACCTCGCTCCTCAGTTGGGGTGCTCATTTTCAACAACATTTTGCACAGGCCAAGTGGTCCAGCAATGAGTATGGGCTTCATATCGATCTTCTCCAGCTCCGAGCAGTCAGCAGCGCATGCAAACACTTCCTTCAATATATCCAAGGCTCTATGGTGCGTATCCTCACCAACAGCGTAACAACCATGTTCTGTATCAATTGCCAAGGACGCGCCTGCTCTCAATCCCTCTGTGCAGAGGCAATCCGTCTTTGGAATTGGTATATCTGCCACAATATTACCATTATGGCTTCTTACCTACCTGGGAACAAGAATACTATGGCAGATACCCTCAGTTGCCATTTTGTGATGGAACGCGAATGGGAGTTACACATGCAAATCGCACACGACCTATTCCAGTGATGGGGCCAGCCCTACATAGATCTATTCGCAATGAGCCGGAATACCAAGTGCCCCCAATATTTCTTGAGAGCAGGCATAGGCCCCAGATCAGTAGGGGACGCTTTGCTTATTCCATAGAATACTCACCTACTATACGCATTCCCTCCTATTCCTCTCCTCCCCAGAGACCTCCAGAAGATACAATTAGATGAGGCTGAAGTAATCCTCATAGCCCCAGTGTGGCTCAGACAGACTTGGTTTCCCCATCTCTATCAGCTGGGTCTTCAACCTCCTTACCCACTTCCAAACCTTCCAGACCACTTAACCCAGAACGGAGGCACTCTTCTCCATCCCCAACTGCAAACATTACACCTGACGGCCTGGCACCTATCTGGTTCTCAGGGGCGAGGCAGATGTGCTCACAACAAGCAAAGAGTGTGCTACTTGATAGCAGACATCAAGTTATATGCAATACTTACCTTTATAAATGGAAATGCTTTATTGCATGGTGTCTAGATAATGGCGTCCAACCATCTACTGCTCTGCTCTACTCGATCCTGGACTACATTATGTTCCTGAAACAACAAGACGTGTCACTTTCATCACTGAGTACACCTGGCTGCGATCACAGCCTTTCACCCCCCCAACCCACCCCAATAGATGGCTTCTCTGTATTCATGCACCCATCTCTAAGAGATTATGGAAAGGGCTACAGGACCTTCACCTGCCACACAGGCCTATGCCACCCATGTGGGACATGGAACTGGTCCTTCATGCACTCACAAGACCACCTTTTGAACGATGGCCAAATCATCACTTGCCCTTCTCACATTGAAATTGGTATTTCTAACAGCAATCGCATCCGCAAGGAGGGTTAGTGAAATTGCTGCCCTCACGGCATCACCACCTTACACAATTTTTCACAAACACAAGGTCGTCCTCCGACCCCCACTCCTTCCTACCTAAAGTCTGCTCAGATTTCCACATCAATGAGCCTATAGTCCTTCCTACCTTCTGTCCAAAACTGCGTGCCTCCTGGGAGGAGACCATACTACACATGCTGGACATTAGAAGGGCCATCGCCTCCTATATAAACAGAACACAATCCTTCTGCGAATCGCAAATGTTTGTTTCATTGGCTGAACGTTTCAGGGGAATGCCACTCTCCTCCCAATGTATATCTAAACAGATAACATCCTGTATCATCCAATTTTACTCTCTCCTGGGCAAACCTCTCCCTACGCCTCCCAAGGCACACTCCGCTCGGGCCATGGCGACATCAACTGCCATGAAAGGAGTCCCTCTCCAAGAAATAGGCTGTGCAGCTTCCTGGTCTTCTAACCATGCATTCATGAGACACTATGCAATTCTCACACGGGCACCGCGGTAGCCAATGCGGTTCTCTCAACCGCTCATAGCACATAACCGAAGCCCATCTACCAACTGAGCGGATACTGCTGTATAGTCACCAACAGTGGAGCCGCCCATGGGGACATCACTCGAAAAAGAAAAGGAAGTTATTCACCTCGTGCACCCTCCTCGCCTCTTCTTCAGCTCATAAACTCTACTAAGAAACGAGGGGAGTTGTCCGACTAGACACTGCTAAAAAAAAGTCTCTGATCTGCGGCACAGGATGACCCCAACACCAATAGTGGAGCACCCACGGGGGGGAACACATCTCGAAGAACCGTCGTTACTGCACGAGATGAGGAACTTCTTACCTCTTTCATTATTTTTACAGTGCAAATACTTGCAATCAAAATATTAATTGAGCACTGTGCACTTTGTATTAGGGATGTTAAATTGTGAGTAATTGACTAATCAAATAGTCTGCAAGATCCTAAAGAGAGAAACAAAAAAAAATCTCTGGCCTAAACCAGAGATTGTGTTGATTCCAGGCTCCATCTGGCTAGTATTGCTGACACTCCACAGAGGGATGGAATCGCATTGGAGCAGGGATGATTGGCCATCATTCAGCTTGTATATCGTAGAATCATAGAATACTAGAACTGGAAGGGACCTTGAGAGGTCATAGAGTCCAGTCCCCTGGCCTCATGGCAGGACCCAAATACTGTCTAGATCATCCCTGATAGATGTTTATCCAACCTACTCTTAAATATCTCCAGTGATGGAAATTCCACAACCCCCCTAGGCAATTTATTCCAATGTTTAATCACCCTGACTGTTAGGAAGTTTTTCCTAATGTCCAACCTCTAAACCTCCTGTGGCAAGGGCCCCTCTTACCCCAGCCACCACTGGGCTGGTCTCTCACTCCTAACCCCAGAGGTTGGGGTTCACAGCAGGTATCTGTGGTAGGGAGCCCAGCCATGCTACCTCAGACTCCCTCCCTAGCTGCCTCCATTTAATGCTGTTATGGGTTTGTTCTCTTTCTCCACCGCCTCCCTTCTGTCCTCTCCCTCCAGCTTCCAACTGCTGAGGCTTTTAAAGGCCCTTAGTCAGCCAGCAGAGGAGTCTGCTGGCCCCAATCAGCCTGAGCCAGCTCCCTCCCAGCTGCATCTAATTGGCCTGTAGCTCTCTGCTTCTACTTACAGGGTTTTTTTTTACCCTTTTGGGCTGCCTTTTTCCCACTCTGCACTCCGGTTCTGTGGCGCCCCCCCACCCCCACCCCAACACCATGGGGTTGGGCTACTTGGGTCGGGCAACAGTGCACCCTTGATAACCCGTCTGCGTTCCCATGCTGCATTCCTGATTTGTGTCGCACGCAGAAGTGGAATTGCTGCAGGGACAGCAACCACCCAGTCACCCTCACATTCTTGTCCTTGTTTCGATGCATCCATTGCAGGGGTGCATGATCAGTGACCAGGGTAAATTTCTGCCTAAGGAGGTAGTAACGTAGGCTTTCCATGGCCCACTTTACCGCAATACATTCCCTCTCAACCACTGCATAGTTTTGTTCCCTTGGCAGAAGCTTCCTACTAAGGTCCAGGATTGGGTGCTTCTCTTCCCCAACCATTTGTGACAATACGGCCCCTAGCCCTACTTCTGAGGCATCGGTCTGCAGGATAAACTCCTTCTTAAAATCAGGGGCTATGAGAACTGGATCACTGCAGAGGGTCGTCTTGAGATCCTTAAAAGCTTCTGCCGCAGTGGTCCATTTTACAATGTCAGGACCACGAGCTCTAGTCAGGTCGGTCAAAGGGCAGGCCCTGGAAGCGAAGTTGGGGATGAATCTACGGTAATATCCAACCAATCCCAGGAACGCCCTGACCTGTTTCTTTCGGGTTGGTCGGGGCCACTTTGAATCGGGGCCTCACTACACCCTTTCCCACAATATACCCGAGATACTTGGCCTCGGCTAGCCCAATTGTACACTTCGCGGGGTTTGCCGTAAGTCCCGCTCTCCTTAGGGTCTCCAACACCGCCTCTACTTTCTCGAGGTGTGTCCCCCAGTCAGGACTGTGGACCACAACATCGTCCAAATAGGCAGCTGCGTACTTGGCATGTGGCTGCAATAGCTTGTCCATAAGCCTTTGGAATGTTGCAGGAGCCCCATGCAAGCCAAAAGGGAGGACCGTATACTGAAAGAGACCTTCCGGAGTTGAAAAGGCCATCTTTTCCTTGGCTCCTGGTGCTAGAGAGATCTGCCAGTAGCCCTTGGTCAAGTCAAGGGTGGACAGAGATCGGTCCTTGCCCAGTTGGTCAATGAGTTCATCCACCCGTGGCATGGGATAGGCGTCGAACTTGTTTGTGGGGTTTTTGTTGTTTTTTGTGTGTTTTTTTTTAAGTGGTAGAGAAAAACTCAAAACTGGTGTTTGTTGTACAGCCTGAAATGGATTATTTTGTTTTAAAGCTATAACTTTTTAAATAGAAAAGCACCCTAATGATTTTTAAAGTTTACAAGAGCCAAGTTTCAGCAGTTTCTGAGCTTCAGCTTGGATCTCCCTTCACTTTGCCTCTGGTATGGCTTAATGTTTACCTTCACCCCGGAATCTGTGATGATGTCATGGTAAATCTCTGTAGTTCTACCAGGTTCTGTTGAAAACACATCATGGTTTCGCTCAATCATGTCAGCTACTTCTGTCTTTTGATCTGGGGTCAGCTCAGAAGATATTCCCACCTGCCTTTGTGGGCTTTTCCCTTGGGGTGGTGACCCCAGAGCAACCAAAGACACTTCTCTGTCTCACCAAGGTTTCAGCAGGTTGATGTGATATATTTGCTCGGGCTTTCGCCGGTCAGGTTAGTGAACCTTATAGTTTACTTCTCTAACTGCTTCTATTACTTCGCATGGCCCCTGCCACCAGGCTAGGAGCTTGCTTTCTGCTGTTGGCACTAGTACCATCATCCGGTCTCCCGCCTGGAACTTCTGGGTTGTTGCTTGAGCCTCCTGTGCTTTTTCTAAATGTTCCCGCACTATGGGGGTGACTCTGGTTGTCCTGTCCCTCATCTGGAGTACATGATTAACATTTTCCCAGGGTTGGGTTGTTCCTCCCAGGCTTCTTGGCAAGGTCCAGTATGCCCAGTGGGTTACGCCCATATAAAAGCTCAAATGGGGAGAATCCAGTAGAAGCTTGGGGCACTTCCCTTACTGCGAACATGAGGTATGTCAGCAGCGTATTCCAATCTCTGCCATCCCGGCTTACCACTTTCTTGAGCATACTTATCAGAGTCCTGTTAAACCGCTCAACAAGACCGTCTGTTTGGGGATGATAAACCAATGTCTTCAGGGCACGTATGTGGAGTATGGTACACAAGTCTTTCATCAGCTTGGACAGAAAGGGTGTCCCTTGTTCTGTTAGAATGTCTTTGGGTATCCCTACCCTAGAAAAATTTTTAATTAGTTCCCTAGCAATTGTCTTGGACAGGGTATTGTGTAGGGGCACCGCCTCTGGGTACCAGGTGGCATAGTCCACCACAACTAGGATACTTTGATGGCCCCGTGCAGACTTCTCTAGTGGGCCTATTAGGTCCATAGCAATTCGCTCAAAGGGGACTTCATTGATGGGTAGGGGTACTAGTGGGGCCCTCAGGTGTGGTCGAGGCCCATGTAATTGACACTCAGGGCAGGAAGCACAATATCTGCGGACCTCCGCATAGATCTCTGGCCAAAAGAGCCTCTGAAGAATGCGGTCCAGGGTCTTATCCACCCCCAGATGCCCTCCAAATAAATGACTGTGCGCTAATTCCAGTATTGCCCTCCGGTGCTTTTGAGGTACCAAGAGTTGTTCCACCTCTTGGTCCCGTATACGAACTACTCTGTATAGTCGATCCCCTTTAATTACATAGTAGGGGCCCATGCCTTTGTTCCTTCCCTCCACTGGGACCCCATTAACTTCAACCACATCCTTATGGACATTTTGATATATTGGGTCATTGGCTTGATCCTGCCCAAAAGTCTCGCTTGAGGATCCAACCTGTCCAAGTTCCAGGGAGCCTACTCCAGTTTCCTCTCCTGATGAGCTGGGTCCTGCCTCAAGCTCATCACGTTCTGGGGTTTCTGTCCTAGTAGTTGGGTGGGCTTCCTGCCCCCCAGCCAGCGCCTGCTTCTGATTTTGGGCCAAAATCTTTGTCCCCAACTTCTTAGCTGCCCTCCTCTCCTGCCGGGTCTTCTGGGGTTCCTCAGGCACCGAGAACAGGTCCTGGGAAAATTCATGGAAGGCTGGGAGGGAGCAATCCTCTTCCACCCAGTCCCGTGGCAGCAGGTCATTAAATCCGGGGAAGTCTCGCCCTATGACCACTGGGTAGGGAAGCTTTGGGACCACCCCCACAGTCACGGCTGTGACCCACCCTCGTACTTCCAGTTTCACGGGGATGGTGTGGTAATAATTAATGTCTCTGTGTACTCCAGTGCGTTTGGCTCGAATCAGCTGGTCCTGCCCTACTAGCTTCCCTGAGACCAACATAACCACGCTCCCGGAATCTACTAGTGCAGTGGCTTCCACCCCATTCATTTTCATGGACCGGGTATACTGATGGTTGACCAGGGCACAAGGGTTTTGTAGGTTCCCTAGGTCGCATTGCATAGGCTCTTCTAAAAGTTAGGGCATATAGCAGCTCAGTGCCCCATCTCCCTACAGGCATAACACCTATAACCTGGGCAGCATGCCCCCCCATCTCTTTGGGCTATTGGGACTTGCCCCCTGGCCCTCTCCAGTGTAGCCCTCAAGATCCTTTGCAAGCTCCGGTGGCTCTTCTGCCCCCTTTCTCTCTGCCCGCACTCAGCCTGAACCTTCAGGGGCACAGGTTCTTGGGGTGATGGTGGACCTCCTATTCCAACACACCTTGACCCCGGGACTTCAGGAAAGTTCCTTAGCAGCCAGCCATCCTTCCACGAGAGCCACCAGCTCAAACATTGTGGGGTCATTCTAGCCAACCCCCTCATATATCTGTCGAGGATGATCACCTCGATAATCTTCTCGGGGCTGTGGATGTCGGGCTGCAGCCACTTCCTTGCCAGATGGACCAGATCAAACAATTGAGTTCTCGGTGCTTGGTCCTCTTGATATTTCCACTTGGAGAATCTCTGGGCTCTCACCGCGACTGTGACTCCCACCTGTGCCAGGATTTCAGCTTTCAATTGGGGGTAGTTGGATGTGGCTTCCTCTGCCATATCAAGGTACGCCTTCTGGGCTCTCCACTCAGAAAAGGGACTAAACTACTGGCCCACTGGGCTTGAGACCGGGCTTCCCACAAAGCTGTCCTTCAAAGGCCAACAGATAGGCCTCAACATCATCATCTCCTGTCATTTTTTCTAAGTAGTAATTGGCCCATGACGGTTGGGCCCCACCTTGACCTCATACCTGGACCACCAGGGCGCCTCCGCATCATCTCCTCCTGTCATTTTCTGTAAGTAGTAATTGGCCCGTTCTTCGAGGATATCCCCGCGGGTGCGCCACTGTGGGTGCCGGGCTTGCCCCGGCGCTGCAGAACGGAGACCTGTTGTTAGCAGTCTTCGGCCGGGCTGCGCATGAACCACTGTGCTTGCAGCGTTCGTGCTCTTTTCCTGCACGCGGTCCAGCCAACCGCCAGTTTCTCCAGACCGCCTCAGGCTGCAGATGGATAGAAACCGTGCTCTTCGCCTCAACCTCTTTTGTGAGACTATATGTCCTCGAATCACTTTGTAAATTGCCCTAACTTGGTTTCCCTTCCTCCTTCGTTCATTCATTCCCCCTTAAAGCTACGTTTTGAGAACTGCTTACTTGTTGTTACCTCCCTACGTTCCCGTCAGTGGTTCTCCCATCTCCTTTGTACATAGTTGTTCGTTGAACTGAAAAAAAAATAATAATAAAAAGAAAAGAAAAAGGAAAGAGAGAGAAGAAATAAACTAAGAGAAAGGGAAACAGAAAGACTCTTGCTCCCTATTGACACCCTGGTAGAAACGCCGGCATGCCGTCATCCCCAGGGTTTAAGAAATGCGGCACTTGCCGGGAGGCAATGCCAGCCTCTGATGGATGTGCGGACTGCATAAAATGTCTTGGGGAGTCCCATGTTCCCCAAAAGTGCTCCTACTGCACTAAGCTCACGGCCAGGGCTCGAAAAGATAGGGAGAGGCGCCTGAGAATGCTCCTCTTCGA